CTGGCGCCTCGACAGATTCTCGGAACGCCGCGGCTCGGAGCCGTTTTCGTCACCCGTCGCGCTAGCGCACCGGTGAAAAATTCAGCTTTTTCGGTCATATCTTTTGACTTCACCAAGTCTCCACTTTGATTTTTGGCAAGGGTGTAGATACAGGTATAACCGACCTCTGGAAAAAAATCGTAGGCTTCTATGCACCCCTTTTTAAGATACTTCAATTTTAGATTTCAAAAATTTTCATGAAAAAAAAAAATGTAGAAGTTTATTTAAAATACGGTGTGCATACGTGGAAAAACTGTCTAAAGAGCTTTTAATCGGCACCAGAACGGATCAGATCGAATAAACGGCTCTGAAAATACAGGCAATTGATTGAAGGGGTTAACCTCCGTTATTTTACTCAAACTTTAAAGCTCAATAAAAGTTCAACGAACAGACAAAAACATTGACAAATCAACTTTTTGGAATCAGCTCAATGAGTAGAGTGAGTGTACCAAATTTCATCAAATTTGAAGAAGTCAGGTCAAATTTTGGTTTGATTTAGCATGGATTGACCTGTAGGAGATACAATATTAAAACAAAGTCATTATAAATTGAATACTTCCCCTAATCGTCATCAAAGTAAAAATCATCTACAGCAACTGGTGCAAGCTCCTTCTCAAATGCTTCAAATTCTGCCAAGAAATCCTTTCGAGCCTCTGATAGAGGTCTCCATTATGATACAAAAATACTCGTAATCCTGCTTTGCTAACGACAGAGGCAGTGTCACGCTGTTACTGCAGGCGCTGCTTGTGGCCAGTTGGCTGGCAGAACTGAATCGAACTTTCAAATTTAATGACGATAGGCCGAGAGCTGATAAATTATCAATACCAGTTGCGAATTCCAATATGTCCGTCAAGGTAACTTTAGCACTTTCACCTAGTAAAAACAAACAGAAGACATGTATTAGTTGTACATCTTACTTCGTCAGTGAGGCAATTACTGCCAACATTCTCACATGCATATTTTACCCTTAACAACCCACCTGATGTATAATTCATCTACCTTCTTTTCCATTTCTAATTTTGTTTTCATGTTAGCAAACTTGATCTAGTGGTTTGTCTTCTTTGATTAGAGAAGATGTGTATTTGAAATGAATTAAGAATGGTTCAAATTTTACTTAAATATTTTGTAATTTATCAACGAAAAAAAAAAATGTAAAAATTAAACCATAATAAAGAAAAAAATTGAATCATAAATTGGTCAATGATAGAATGATGCACTTGCAATTATTCACAAAGAAACTAAACATTGATTAAACCTTAAACAAGAGAAACAAACAGGAACACAATCCTGCTAGGATTTGAACTAATGCTCATTCACACATGCACAGAATTTACCACATCATTGCGCAGCTCAAACATTGGAGGCTGTTCGACGAACTTTATAAGAGAAAAAAAACAAGAAACAATATTATGATTTACATTGAATAACTTGAGAAGGCATCAACAAGGGGCAGGGCGGGGGGGGGGGGGGGGAAGCATAAGAATCTAAAATAAGAGGAAACAAAAACAATGCCATTACCTTCACAATCCTTGACAAATTGCTTCCAATGAGCAAGAACGCGTTTTTCATCCTCAGTTACAGGATAGGAAGAAAATGCTGCGATGAAGTTTTTGGCAGTCAGGACTTCATCAACTGAGCCAAAAATGTTCCAAAATTCCGCAGGATTGGCTTCAACATACTTCAAAAGAGAAGTTCCCTCATTCAGTCCATCTTTAAATTGTGAGAGAGGGTCTTTAATTTTGTCATGTAGATGGTACTCCAAAACATCTATAGCAACAACCAAGAGAAAAAATATAAAGTTAAATTATGGATATAATTGTTACTGAGATGGTGAAGAAAATGAGGGTTTGCCGCAATGGGATCATTCATAAGTTACATCACAATAGGAATCAGATTTTTACACATTCCTTTCCCCCTAGTCAGAAGCCTGGACCCCTTAAAAATTTACACCATGCAGTCTTTGACCCGACCCACTCAATAGTAGATAACTATTAACTCAGATAAATCCATACTAAACGACAGGAATATATATTCGTTAAGGGTTGGAAATTAATTTCTCAATAAAATAGGAATACGTAATAAATAAACATACAAAAGAGTATATGAACAGAAAACATAAATTGAGTGGATAAACTGTTGTGGGACAGGATGAAAATGAAAGGACTTCATTCTGATCTTTCAAAACACTGAGAAAATAACTGCATTTTTTCCAGCTAAATTGTGAAGTTTAAAACTCAAATGCTGTGGAAAGCAACAATGCAGACGTCAAGTCTTCAGATATCAATGGTGACACTACAAGACCAGGTATTCTGGTGGGCCATGATGCTGATGTCCTGTTGAATTTTCCTTTTTTGAAGTATGGGTAATCATATTTTTGGCACCAAACTTTGCGTGATTAATATTTCTCCTATCAAAATTATTCTGTAACAGTTTTGTATAAAATGTCTAGTTATAATTCTATAATGTTGAAATAGAGCAGAAATTAAACATTACAATAAGGGTAATGCATTTTTGTAGTTCTAGTGTCAATATTTTGTAAGTACAAGAGTCCCATTCTCAAGAAATCAGCAGTTCGTAATTATGTGCAGAAGGAGGATAATTCTTCTCTTTTGACCAGGAATATCACCATCGTAAGGAATGTAACCCATATAGTCCTGAAAAATTGTAGCATACTATTTGACCTCATAAATCAGTATCTACTTTTTCGAGCAAGATTGAAATGAAAAACAGGTTACCTTTCAATATTTCTTCTTTCTTGAAAAACTCTTTCTCTTCAAGAAAGTGCTTCTTTACAGCACACAGGTAGGAAGACTCGTTATCACGGATGACAGCATTCACTTCATGATGATTTGCAGCATTTTCCATTTGTTCAATGGCGTGTCTCGTATTCAAATCCGGAACCAAGCTACTCCTCAATTCCAAATTTTTCAAGGATCCTTGGGATATGAGCTCAAACAGAGCCTTAGAGAGAAACTGAGGTCTTGGTCCTTCATGCAAGAAAGTCAACTGCAAGATCTGTCCAGCTTTTTTATAAAGGCCTTCTTTCAAACTCTGTTTACAGTATGTCAAAGTTTTCTCTGATGCTCCTTCGAATATTCTGGTGTCTTCCTTCACTTCAAGTACAAGGGAGTTGAGAAAGGCTTTTAAAGGACCTTTGCCCACAGCGGCTTCGCATTCAAATCGAGCACTTAACTGGTCAAGAACAGAAAAAGAAGGGTCTTCGAGGAGACGTAACATATCTGGATACAAAGTGTCCCTTCGCGCTCTAATGTGCCTCTTAGTTGATTTAAGGTGCATTTGCAGTTGAAGTGAAGCTAAAACGTCTGCCACGGAGAGACGATTTTCTCGATTTTGGGAAATATCTTCCGGTTTAACATCAATGAGCATGTGATTTCGGCCATAATCATCTGTGTACATAAAGGTCCCAGGTTTACCATGAGAGAGTTTAAAATTATTATCAGCAGCAGTCGAGGTTGAGGCACATGCAATATCTTCCCATTGACTGGAAACCGGATGAGGAGATGAATCAGAATTGGAGGAAACTTTGACAGGAGATGACCGGAAGAAGGAAATCTCAGGTGGAAGTTTTCGTTGGCCTCCTTTGGGTTTTTCCTTAAACCAGTAGTCCAGGGAAGAAGAACTATCAGAATCACTGCTGGTTATTAAATTGGTGTGTGCTATTTCCGTGGTTGGCTCGGAAACGTTTCCTGAAACAATATTTGCTTCATTACATGGAGCTGAGTGGGTACTGGGTTGTGCTGAAGTCTTCAGGGAGGATGAACTTGGAGAGATCGGTGTTGATGCAGACTCTGTCTTCAGAATTTTGGATTTTGGCTCACATATTGAGGACGAATCATCAGAAGTATCGGTAAGATCTCTTGATGGCTTGACGTAAATAATGGATTTTGTGTTACGGTTTAAAAATTCTCCATCTATTTCTTCATTAGGGATGTTGAATGATTTTAAATTTTTACCATTATATTTTACGAACTGAAAATCAATTTCTTGATCATGAGTGGCGGTAGCCACCACCGGGCAAGTAACCTATCCTCCAACAAT